AGGTATAGCCAGGAAGTAAAATGGAGTATTGGTCTGTGTTGCATAGCACTTTCCTCTGAGATAAACGTATCTTGGAAAGAAGCTTAATGAAAAAGAGGATGATCTAAGGGGATGTGAAACATTCTTTTCTGCAAATCTCTCTCTAATGTCAGAAATTTAACAACTGAAAAGCTTCAGGAAGTCCAGGAAACTGGGCAGTTTCTCCAAGACTCTTCTACAAGCCTTTATTTGCAGGCTGAATTACTGAGAGATACACTCAGACCGGTGAGTTGCCTATAAGAGGCTCAGATCTGTACAACCACCTGGAGGAGACAGAGACCACCCAAGCCATTCAGAATGGGCTTCGGTGATCTGAATACCTGATAGCTCCACTTTCCACTTTACCAAGGTGTTTGTAAGTTGCACAATTTCTTCCAGGTTTCATGAGCTGTGCTCTGCTGGGCTGTGGTGGGCTGTGGCGATTCAGCTGTCTGTGAGCCATACACATCCCTCTAAGTAGCCCCTCACTCATATTCCTGTTAACTCTAGTACAATTCATTTGTTCATTGAGTTGAACTTGGGTGGTACCCATACTTTGATCTGTGGTTGGTTTCCTAATTAGGGTGAGGAGATGTTTGTTCTAATGTCTTCCCAGGAAGAGGGTTATTTAAAATCTGCCTTTTTCCATGAATGCATAAATAGTTACAAAATATTCTAATATGTTTAGAGTCCAAACCTCACAAATTATATATTTGAAAAATTGTTTATTTTTGTGTTAAGAAAATTAATATTATAGTGTAGGATATTTTAAAATTGAAAGTTTTATGAATAAGTTAATTTTTATTAATTGTTAGTAGCATACCAATAACTTAGGGATTTTTAAAAAATTAATTAACATAAATCTACATAGCTTCTCAATTTTTTTGTTTTTGTTCTTGTTGTTAATTTTCACTGACTCCCCCCACCCCAACTTTAAGATTAAAAAAGAAAAATCAACTAAGTTCAGATTTTCCTAATATTGAAGGTTGAACCTGGGGCCTTGCTTTCCTACTTTCTCAGACACCCAATCAAAAATTAAATTATTACTCTAAATTAAAAGGCAATATTTATAATATTCAGAGCATACATACTTTCCCGTTCTTTTATATTTCCTCCCTTTGAAATCCCTACCTCTTAACAAACCTACAAATAAATCTAAAACTCCCAACAATGCTCAAATAGTTACTCAAAACAAAAAGCAGCTTACCTTGTATCAAAATTATAGTAGATTACCTCTGCCTCCTTCCTTCCTTTAACCTAGCCCCTACCTTCTTTCCCTTGCTTTCTTTCCTTCCCAAACTCCTTTCATTCGTTATGTAAACTATTAAGGATGTGGTAAATCTGTGAATAATCATACTGAATTTCTTTACTAAGGTCTATAGTTAAATCACTTCTAACCACTCTGTGCCACCCGTGGCACTCGGATTTGAACAAAATAGCAGAAACATGGCCCTGTTCTTACCTTCGCCCTTTATACTCTGGAGCAAGTAACAAAGCCTAGCAAGGATTTTCCTGATCTTTCCCTATGTCACACTCATTTGAGGGGTGCACTCCCTCTACCAAGAAGAAAGGAATTACATTTTTTGGAGATACAAGGGTGCAGGGAAAGATCTGAGCAAAGAGGGTTAGTTCCTATCTACTTTATCATCAAACCTACCTTAAAAGTCATAGCTTTACCAACTTTTATTTTCATGTGTCATTTGCTTCTGAAGGTATCCATATTGTTCAAGTAACCCAAAACAAAGCCGTCAATACGTTACACTGGTTATGGTGTTTTATCACAATATAAAAGTAACTCATACCAACAGGATTTGTATTCCTGCACAAAACATCATGACCAAGAAGCAAGTTGGGGAGGGAAGGGTTTATTCAGCTTACACTTCCACATTGCTGTTCATCACCAAAGGAAGTCAGGACTGGAACTCAAGCAGGTCAGGCAGCAGGAGCTGATGTAGAGGCCATGGAGGGATGTTACTTACTGGCTTGCTTCCCCTGGCTTGCTCAGCTTGCTTTCTTATAGAACCCAGGACAACCAGCCCAGGGATGGCACCACCCACAATGAGCCTTCCCACCTTTGATCACTAATTGAGAAAATGCCTTACAGCTGGATCTCATGGAGGTATTTCCTCAAGGAAGTCTCCTTTCTCTGTGACAACTCCAGCTTGTGTCAAGTTGACACATGAAACCAGCCAGTACAGGACCAGAAAAGTGGTAAAACCACATTTGAAAACTGGTAATTCCTTAAGCATTTCAACATATGTTTGCTGTATGTTCTAGCCATTCAATCCAGTTTTTTGATGAAGCCATACTGAAGCATTTTTTATGTATACAGGTAGATTTTTATGTTATTTTTGAATCACATACTAAGTTTCAAAAGCTAAAATCAAAGCAAACAAATGCCCACTTTGTGACATACATACATACTAGACTGTACATCACCAAAGAGCCAAGTCACCAACAAACAATTACATACACCTAATAAAATCTCAAATTATATGCAAGAAAAAGGAAGCCTTCCATAAAATAAAAACATACTGTAATTTCCTAGTCACAAACTGGTGTCTGCAGGAAGACAGAAGTTGAAGATGGGCACAGAGAAACATCAAGAGTACAATATCTTCATGATGATACAATACATTGTATGCATATTTACTCCATAAGGCACTAAATATGGAAAAGAAGTATAGAGGAGGAGGAGAAGGAAGAGGAGGAGGAGGAAAAGGAGGAGAAGGAAGAGGAGGAGGAGGAGGAGGAGGAGGAAGAGGAGGAGGAGGAGGAGGAGGAGGAGGAGGAAAAAGAAATAGCCATAGGTAACTATTTTACCCAGTCCTGTTTTCAGGTAACAGGGAATATTGTTGAATGTTCCTTGGTTGCCAGACTCAGTTTTAGATGGCAGAGTGACAAGAGGGTGTGGTAATAGGCTCAGGGAAGAAGGCAGAGAGTCAGGAGAGAAAGAAAAAGAAATGTCTCTATTTTCCTAAAAATAGCTAACAGGTTGGAGGTGTAGCTTTATGGTAAAACACTTGCCTTTTATGCTTGAGGCCTGAGGTTCCATCCCCACAGCTGTGAAAAACAAACATCCTATTTACAGTAAAGATAACATAAGAGATGTCCGATGGCTTGTGAAAAAATATGGAGCTGTCTACAGGAACAAGCAGTTGCCAGCATGACTTTATTCCCTTTAGAAGCAGGAGTCTAGTGGTAAGGATATATTGGGGATTTAAAGAGGGCAATTATTTGAAAACAAAACAAAACAACAAAACTCTTCTCTTTGGAAGTATATTTAAGCAGAAACAGGAAAACAAGAAAGTGAGGGGAGCAGGCTAGACCGGAGAGGGGTTCATTCTGGTGCTCAGGCCAACCCTCTAGTCTCCCAGTTAGGAAAGTAAGGATGTGGTCATGACCTAGGGACCAAATAATAAATCATATCATCTTCCATACACAAATCCACTTCTGTACTTAAATATTCTTTTGCATTTCTTTCATGAAAACCCTTTCGTGTATCTGAGTTGCAAGTATTGCTTTGAATTCTGAGTTGGAGAAGCCAAGGATTTTTAGGAGCCTGTATGTCCCCCCTCCTCTGTCTGTTTTCTCTGGAAGGGGTCATGGAGTGAGGACAAACTGGGCCTACAATGGCTCCCTTACGTGGTCTTGTTTTATACTGCTCCAATGATCACATGATAATCTGCACTTGGAAGTAATAAGGAAAGAAAGGGCCTAGGTTCCTGGGTGGGATTAAGGTGGTATACATCTGTGTTCAATGTGTTAAATGCCAGAGCTCTCTTTGCTCTGTCTGGGTCACTTCCCACAGTGAGTACACATGCATAGTCTAGTTTCTTTCATGGATCAGACACACTGAGGAGGTCTGCTGTAACTTTACAGCTGATGCTGCTTTTATTTTGTCTTCAGACACTTGGTACAAAAGAGTCCTTCATCTTTCAGACACTTATGAAAATGGTCCAAAGCAATGATGATTGTAAAAAAAAAAAAAAGATTAACATAATAAACCCCCTCCAGGAAGCAGACTGGCTTACAGAAATCGTAATCAGCTAAACCTTGGTGTGCGCTGCTTTTGTGAATTTCTGACAGAACAGGGATCTCCATGTTCTTCTTATAGTTAATTCTTTCTGCAGAACCCCCAACACATAAAAGTACCTTTTCCCTTAGTGGAGAGATCTGTGAATAATACAACAGCTCACAAATACAATTTAAACATAGTAGTCCTATAATTACAAACAACAAATGTCAGGATTCTCTGGTTTTTCTCTCAATATGGTACATACTATGCCTTTACAGTAATTCTACAAAACATTTGGAAACCGAGACGTTAGAGATTTGTATTTACTAATTTAGAGGGAGCCCAGAAGGTAAAGATTCTGCCTGTATATAACTGCAATCTTGAGCAGTCACGTTGGAAGAGTAAGGCCGAGAATTTACATGCTTACACAGGGAGCTTTGTTGATCTTTAAATTGAAATCTCATCCTTTTCTTGGCAAAGCCTATCTAAGCAGCATATGGAAAGAGATCCTCTCTGAGAACAAGGAAATTTGGGCAAATGGACAGGTAAGGAAGCTGGATGATTTCGGTTGAGAATGGGCCTTGAACTGGCAGGCTTTGGCCAGGTCTGTGACCGAGGTGGAGCCCATGATGATGCAGCATTTTGTTATAGATAAGGAATGTGGACGTGCTTATGGATATAGCACTACTACATCAACATACAAACTTCTCATTGTAATGAATGCTTCATTCAAAACTATTGGAGCATCTCATAAAATAGAAAAGCTCAGCTTTTAAATAATGAATAAGAACATTTATTAAGATTAATAATAGTCATTTGGCTGAACTCAAATAATGTTTACCTTGCTCCAAATGGATTGCATTTTTAATGTTGTAAACACTTCATGCTGGTGTTGGTATCTTGCTTTCCACTCACTGGGTATCCAACATTGGCATGCACACAAAGTTGACTTGAATACACAGAATACTTGATTAAAAACATGGTTTTATTTGAAAAGTGTGCAAGAACAATCACTAAGTACAGTCATCAACAACACTATGCAAACCCAGACACCACAAAATCATGTGACGCTATGATTTCTGAAGCCACTGAAACTTTGATACAACAAATAATGACCTGACGGCATTTGTCAGGAGCCACAACCTCTTCAGGAGCACATTAAATAATCCACACTTAAAGTCTTGGGTTACATTTAAATCATTAGACAAAACTGAGATCTGTATAGAAAGCAGACAAAACAAACATGCTCAGGTTAAAAAGATGGATAATATTACTAGAAAGTAAACTGTTAGGATACCATGAAGCACTTCAGTATTATTAGAACATCTCATTTCTGCACATAAAGTAAAGCAGGATAGTTTATTTTTCTTAAGTTCAAATACAAGACTCTTTTAGACATAAAATTTTATTTGTACATGGGATTTCAACCAACATGTAATATCCTACATTGAATCTAATTGGTTTCCTTGAAAGAAATACAAGATGACATGTTAACTGAAACAGAGCTCATATTTTTTTCAACACTAAGATACATTATACATTTTCAATCAAATACAGTGACCTCAAAGTAACTGACTGTACATTTAGCTATCCTACTACAATTACTGTGATGGCCATACTATAGATTTTTACCATGACATGTGACCCAGGATAAGAGCATATTTATTATTCTTAGTTTGTGATAATGGTGTCTGTTTATGAAAGAAAGTTTCTGTTGTACCTTGCTTTTGAATGTAACTTGAAACTTATGAGTTACTCAAAGTTTGTTAAGCTCTGTATTTGCAAAGCCTCATGGTCCTGAAGTTCTTATTTCTGGTCATTTTTCTTTCTATAACAGATTCTCCATTAAAGAGCATCAGGAAACAAGAATCATATGGAACAAAACAATAAGCATATATGACTGAGTCCCTTAATATACAGTGTTGGCTTGAGGACAACAGTTGCTGGTTAAACAAAGGAATCCATTTCGTTAAGGCCAGATAAACTGGTTCCTGTAGGACCTATGAAGGATCTAGAGAGACCAAGTCAGTTGAGAGATGCTAGCCATAATGGTCAGGACCTCCCAGAAAGGAAAGGAAGGAGAAAAGTACATTTAAACCATGGTTATTCTCTAAGAGTTGGCACCCTTTTAAATTGTTCCATCATTTCAGGGCTGTTTTACCTTGGTTCTTCCTTATTCTTTAATTAATGATCTTATCACATACGAAATTACAAAACATCTCAGCCATAAACTGTTGGTACAAAGAAAGCTTCTATAAAGGTTCTCTTAATGTTACTGCTGGAAAATTTTAAAGTAATATTTTATTAAGAATATCAGATTCATATGTAGTAAATAAAATATTTCTAAGTATCCTAAATAATTTGGTAGTCACATATATTTTTTACTTAGTTATAAGGCATAGACTTCACTAAGTAGATAAGAATAATGAGAAAATATCTCCATGGATTTAGTTTAGAAATTATAAATCCTTTCTTCCTTCACCTAACTCAATCTATAGCTATCTTCATTTTTTCCTATATTGAAAAATCTTGACTTAGCTAGCTTGTCATTTTTATTTTTGTTCAGAACTTTTGATCATCAATGTCATTGTGGTTGGACACCATTCAAGAATTCAATGACAATTTTTATAACATTTTCTCTATACCCAGCATTGCTTGTCATTTCTACACTATGAGACAGGCACTGAGATAACACTCAGTTACTACTCCATACTTATTGTCAGAAATGAGCTGACATCACTGCGGTAGAATATCAAGAAGAAAATACAATAGATTAAATTCTTAGGCAACTATAGCTAGTTTCTTGACATCTTTTAAAAATGATAAAGCTTTCTTTAAAATAGTCACTACACCACTTTCAATGTTATAAAGCTTGATAGTAGAAGATGAAAATCAGGTTTTCTATCACTTTGGCTAAAATTAACTCCTTTTCCCTCCATCCTCTCTGTTACCTGAGGACCAAAACCAAGTTCTCATATATACTACTCAGAGGCCCTACATCTTAGCTTGTATATCTCCAGACTTTTATAGAGTTACTACACATCTCAGCAAACTGGAGATTAGAAATGTTACTTCTTTAAAGGTCGAGTGTTGGAATATAACTCTAAAATCCTCTGAGTGACAACTTGTCCTGAAATATTGGGTGTGATATACAGTAAGGAAGGCATTTTTCCCCTAAGAGAAGAGAGGATTCAGAAGAGTGAATGGTCCCCTTCACAGGCGCTTTCAGGTTGTTAACCTTCTCTAGGAACACACTGCATCTCCACACAGAGCTGCCTCTACCTGGTGCCCCTGGACACTAATTTAGAAGATGCTCTAGGTTCCTAAAATCTGCTGACTTCCAATAGACTCACTCTGGAGTTTAAATGTCTTTGGAATGAGGCTGTTGTTACCGATTTTTAATGTCATGCAGCTATTTATTGGCAAATTTTGTTTTGTTTTTGATACAAAGGACAATTAAACATTGATTAGAAGAACTCTTGCCCTGTCATCATATGTGTATAGGTTAGCAAGCAATAAATGTACATTAAAACAAAGGCACCCATGGGTACATAGAGTGCCTTATCCGGTTAAAAATTAACAAATTAGATACTTTAGAAAATGCTAGTTCTATGGATTTTTTTTGTTGCAGAAATTATTAATAAATTGGCTAAAGTAGTAAAGTCTGAAGATTGAAACTATTTTGGGGAGATACAAGTTAATTTCCCAACACACAGCATTTTCTCCACTTGGTCACTTCTAGTTACCACAATCAGCACAAGGCCAGCACTATGTTCTTACTACTGTTGTATTTTTCAGAAGGCCATTCTTATATAAGATTAAAATAACATTGTACAAATTTGTAGTTAATTTTCAAGCAATTGCTAATCTGTGACATGTTAGGAGAAGGTAGCAGTAATCTCCAGATCCCAATAATGTTTTTGTATCTTTGCTAACAATATCAGTTGAGTTCAGCCATATTATTGTCTCTGTGAGGCTCTTCAGAGACATCAGATAAGAGAAAATGAGTTATGTGGTTGGAGACAAAACTGATCACAGAGGAGTTTGAGGCACTGAGTTCAGGCTGTGTAAACATCAACCAGTGTAAACACGCTAGAGTAGGGTGCTGTATTAGAAAGAAGTATCATGTACATTAGGTAGTTCTCAAAAATACAACTGGTTCACTAAAAGCATTTGGAGTTAATTATTAAGAGAAAATATCTTAGCTACAGATATATGTTGTGGTGAGATAAAAGAGATACATAGTTCTTTAAAATAGCATATTCATGGCACCAGATCAGTTCGAAATTATATAACGAAGTATTTAGAACTAGAATCTGAAAATCATAGGAGAATAATGTTTTCACCATGACCAAATACATTTTGAGGTTGGATGTCAACGTTTACAGACAGAAGTATTTCTAGACCAACTAGAATATTTTCATTTTTCGGCAGTTTGAAATGTCAACCTTCTTGAGCTTATTACCCAATACCTACTACTCTTACAGGCACATTTACATATTTACAGGCATCATTGCCCTCCACTTCATGCTAGTTAGCAACAATGCGCTTCAAACAGGTCATGAAAAATATTTATTCTGACAATGAAAGAATCTTGCTAATCTTTTAACAAGCAAGCCAATTACATGGACCACAGAGATAAACTGAGAGATGGAGAAATGAAATCCCTTCAGCATCACAGGACACAGTATTTTCCTGTTATGGAAATACTGATATGACTTGAATCAAAACCGGAAATAGATACAGTGAGCTCATGATATTCACCAGATTTTGCCATAGCCATGGTCATTTCTTTCCACTTTGCTTCCAGAAGACATGTTGCACAAATTGACTATCAGCTTTCTACCCCTATGGTGAAGACATTGAGGCCATGAAGAGCATCTCAACCAGAGAGAATTGAAGGAAATCCTAGTAAAGAATGAATTGTACAAGCTGGAGTGCTGAGCTGTTGACACTGAGAAATTATACCAAGGGTGAATCCCATCTAAGCCTCCAAATTGTGTTGCTTAGTGACACAGTTCTGGATCTAACTTGTCATAAAACCATTTTGTATAGACATGTCCTTGGATCTGTCTGACTCAACAGCAGATAGAGGTTAGCAGGAAAAAGTTGGATATGGTACTGGACTTTACTTTGTAATGTTTGTAACTTTGAAAGGAGGCAAGGCATGCAAAAGTTTGAGACTGAAAAAATGTTTCAAAGGATGAGAGACTATCCTGTCACAAATTCTAAGCTCACTATGAAAACAGAAAACACAAAGCCATTTGTCTTTGTTAGCAGTATATTATTGTCTTCGTTATTGGTAAAAATCAATTGACAAATTTAGATACCATTTTAATAAGATTGGTTTATATATATCCCACATTATGATGAATAAAAAGTAATACAATGTGAGTTTTCACAATGATAAGAATATCTGTGATTAATTCTAGAAAGAAAAAAAATAGCCTTCAGGAAAACAAAACAAAACATTGACTATAGTTTTGATGAGTTGAAACACACCTTCATTCTTGCAATTTTTTCAAGTACACCTCAACTACAGCTACTCTTCCTCCTGGCAAAGTAAAAAATGTCATAATAAAGAATGCAGCATCAATTTTTGGTGATTGATGGCATGAAAATTCAGGGTGACTATAGTTATTGGTCCATAATTACTTTGATGTTATTGACCCACGGACACACCTTCATTTCTGTAACTGCTTCAAGGCAAGTGTAAGAGTGGTCTAGAGGAAAGATAAATTTAGAATTTCTAGTGCTTTTCTAAAATGAAGTAAGAGCCATAATTAATAATCACTGTTTTCTCTCAACAACAAATTTTATATTTAGAAACTGTAAGACTAAATCTTAAGTTTTCTTTATTACACTTGTAAGATATATACAATAAAAATGCTTTATTTTTTCTTGTGACCCTAAGAATTTGATAAAAAATAAAAATAAAATGAGAACCTGGGCACCATCAGCAAAGATGTTAAAGGTTTGGATCACTTGAATAGGAGCCTCTGAAGGCATTGTCAATCCCAACTGGTGATATTAGCTTCTAATCTGCTTCAGTGACATTTGTCTAAGTAACTCTCTCTCTTAGCCTTATCCCAAAGATCCATTTCATTTAACTTGTTCAAACACCATATTCTCATGTTTCATTTTCTGTCAGGGAATTTTCCTCGTACCTTTCCATCCAAGATCCTGTTCTTGTCTCTCTGCCATTTATTAGAATATAAAAATGGAATAATTACACAATTTCCTACAGAAGCCTGCCATTCACTCACCCAAGACTTTATCAGTAACTCGGTATAGCTTACTGGGCAGACACAGTCATTCTTAATAAGCCACAGAGAATTCTTTGTTATGTATGCATTTTTAGGATTATGTCTTCCCCAGTACAAATATAGAAGAAGTATGAGTCATATTCCACATAAGTAGATGAAAACAGAAATCATCCTTTTAAATTCTCTGTTTAGATAGCTTTTCCCTTTCTCCAGGCTGGAGTAATATGTGCTTTTATTTAAAACTCACCGATACTTTTTTTTTCCATATACACAATATTATAAAAATACAACTGAGCATTCACAATGGTGAGATTGCCTTAGGACAACTTTGATTTTTGTTTGGAAGGGACTTGGGATAACAGGACAGTTCTTTTAACACTATGACTATTCTGCTTTATTGAAATAGATTGGGGTCAGGGGAGAAAGACATGCCATTGCTCATGAGCTACTACTCAACAATGTTGTGGTTGTCATGGTTTTGGGACATAGGATTTGGGCAGGCTCTCCATCACTAGCTCCTCTGAGTGGCTAGCAGGCACATTTCTTTTCTGCTGGCTTTCCCCCATCCAGCTTTCCTGAATTTCCACCATTGACAGTGTCCGGAACCTGTGTCTTCTCTACACACTTTTCCATTCTCTTCATGATCAAGTCCAGAAGCGTTTCCACCGACTTCTCTACATTCTGTCCTGTCGCTGCACTTGTTTCAAAGTATGGTATGCTAGAGTAGAAACACAAAAAAGCAGATCATGGCCTCTGTGAATCATATATAGCATATTCTTTTGAAGTGTGTGTGTATCAGAGAGAGATTAACTCTCGCTAAGTAGCAAGTGTATTACTTCATGAGGTCATTATATTTTATTGCTATCCAAATTCTGTCATTCTTCAAGAATACAATGTTACCATCAATTAATCCAGTCAGTATATAGGGACATTTTGAACTTAACTCTTATTCTTGAATAAGATAGTAACATTCTGACACAAGATCATTTCTAAAGCAGATTTTGGATTTATTTTTTAAACTATTTTGTTTTCATTTATGTGTATATGGACATATGTGTGAGTGTGTGTATGTGAGTCTATATATGTGCACACACACCTGCATGCACACATGTGCCTAAGAAAGCCAGGAGAAGGTGTCAAGTTCCCTGGAGCTGGAGTTACAAGTGGGTTATAAGTCACCTGATATGGATGCTGGGAACTAAAGTGGTCCTCTGAAACAATGCCAATTGTTCTTAATAACTAAGACATCTCTCCAGTTCCAGAGCAGAGGTTAATTAAGGAGAGGGCAAGGAAGTCTGCTGTGAGATTCTGTTTCTTAGAAATGACAGGGGAGCTACACCCATGATACCTCAACAATATAGATACCTTTAAAAAGTTGAAAAATGACATCATCACTTGAAATGTCAACATTAGTAGGGAAGTTGCATAGGGCCACACCCCCAGAGGAAGAGCTACAGTCAATTAAGGACTGCCAAGAGAGGAAGAATTAGTCTTCCCCAGAGATGAGCACCCTAAAATGGTTATCCTAATTAGTCAGTCTCACTTCCCAACACACACACAAGCAACAATAAATGTGTTGAGCAGGTTGCAGCTATATATGGGAAAGTGATATAATTATATTTTAATTTTTAAGGTTTTGTTCTTTAAGAACAAATATTTTGGCATAAATTTTCATTTAGTACAACGTTCAATAAAAGGAGAGGTACCTATGAAAAACCCGACTCTTGCCAGGGGCCTCTCAAGAGGAAGGAGTCTCTGAGAGATCAGAAGCAATACAGGCCATTGAGGGAATGGCGTGCACTGTATGGCTGGTAAAGAGACCTTAGCAAAAGTTTTTGCTGGCAAATTGGGACCTTTTTTTTTGGGGGGGGGGGGATGTATTTATTTATTATGTATACAGCATTCTGCTTGCATGAATGCCTGCAGGCCAGAAGAGGGCACCAGATCTCATTATAGATGGTTACAAGTTACCAAGTAGTTGTGGGAAATTGAAATCAGGACCCTTGGAAATACAGCCAGTGTTCTTAATCTCTGAGCCATCTCTCCAGACTTCCCTCCTCCTCCTCCTCCTCCTCCTCCTCCTCCTCCTCCTCCTCCTCCTCTTCCTCCTCCTCTTCCTCCTCCTCCTTCTTTTTAAGTAAATAAAAATGAGTGAGTTGTTCTGTCACACTGTTGGGACCCTGTTGTGTAGGAAGCCATCACAGGAGGTAATCAGGAAGCTAAAGTCAAGATGTCACCATTGCTTTAAGACAATGAAACAAACTAAGGCAGTAAGAGAAAGCCTAAACCCGGGGTCTGTAGTACCACTAACATTTTACTTTCCTGTAGCCAATCACCTAGAAACTTGATTTTGAAATGCCTTATATATTAAATATAATATTCATGGGAATGTAAGCTACGTTTATTTAAAATTAACAGTTTTAAGGAGATCTAAACTTTAAGGAAGCAATTTTAAACTAGCAACAGTTGCCAAAGCAGAACAAAGACTCGATCAATATTAGATGCTGTTATTAATATGACTTCTGGAAAATGTGGTGTGTGTGCACATGTGTGTTTTTTATGTATGTATGTATGTATGTATGTATGTATGTATGTATGTATATACATGTACAAGCATGCTCTCCTGTGAATCTCATTCTCATTCACTGAATCTGACACTTACCAATTTTTCTAGACTGGGTGGCTTTTCCCTGAGCTGGGGTTATAGACACATTCTGCCATGGCCAGCTATTATATGGGTGCTAGAGACTCAAAAAGAGGTCCTCACTCTGCCCAGTGAATCATCTCTCCAGCCTGAAGAGTCCTTTTGAACTCATCAAATTTTCTGATCCAAGGGCATTCCTTCACTTCTCTCTTTCATGGCTCTATTTCACCTCTGTATAAGGTCAGATGGTCCCTGGTGAAACTGACTTACCCATATTTTTCAGCCAGCTCCCGTGCTTGTCGCTCATTGACTTCCCTTTGGTCCAGCAGGTCTGCCTTGTTGCCAATTAAGACTATATCTGGGTTTTCACAGTAAGCATTTGCCTGCAGTTGACCTTGGTAAGGAAGCAGAGGGAAACTGAGTTAATCACAGACAACTGATGTCAAAGGCTGCTGTACTCCGAATTCCTAACATAGTTGGTCATCTGTAGCTTTATTGGCTACTAGTACTGATCAGCCTTGTCATCTCGTCTGCTCAATCATTTATTTTTAATCTATAAAAAGGAGCTGATACTGCACAGATTACAAAGAGTAGCACTGACAGACAGGTACATAGGAAATACCTGAATCTTTACCTTAAACATGCTTTCCTACACCTGTGAAAATGCCCTGACCTATGTGGTATCCTGCCCTCAGATTCTCAGATATAAGTGGGGATGATAAAACATTATTTTCATGTTCATTTGCTTGTTCCATTAGATGGCAGCTTTCTTCCCTTCTTAGGACATCAGAGTGATGATCTCTGAAATCTTTGAAAAACTAGGAAACTCATGTAGAAACATGCTGAACCTAACATTTTTCTCTCTTTTCTTTAGGCAAACCTCTGTCTCTGTCTCTCTGTCTCTCTGTCTCTCTGTCTCTCTGTCTCTCTGTCTCTCTGTCTCTCTCTCTCTCTCTCTCTCTCTCTCTGTGTGTGTGTGTGTGTGCTGTGTGCTGTGTGTGTGTATGTGTGTGTTGGTGGAGAAAAAGACAGAGAGAATAAAAGTAACAAAGGAAGGAATGAAAGAAAGAGAAAGGAATATAGGAAGTGAGAAAAGAAAACGAGGGGAAAGCAAGACCAGTCCACATGTGTTTTCCACCTCACTGCAGCCTGGATGTGCCATGTAAGAAGACTGGAAGAACCACACAGATTTATCAGTAATATCAATGATCAGAGTGGTAGAAACTCAGAGGTTATTAGACATGGCAATTAATTATCTTAAATCCCAATAATATCTTCCTGGAGACTTGAGGGAAAGGAACATCTGCCTTCAAAAAACAGCAAACAAACCATTCTCTGAAAGAATTTAATAATCTTATTATTTCCTGGTCTCAATAGAATCTAATCATAGTACCAGAATTTGGATAAGGACATACAACATTCAAAGGAAATAAAGACAGATCCTAGGGTAAACATTAATTTGGAGAGGCAATTATAAAAGGCCGGATTTGTTGATACTTTCCCTATTGGCTGCAACTGGTTACTGAATTCACACTCAAAACACATATAAAATTTTACCTATCACTGTACTTAGTGCATTATTAATTTTCTATAATGTGCTGTAATGAATAGAAATATAGCAATATAGACATAGGCAGAAATAGGTAGAGGCTGAACATCTACAAAGTACCAGGAAAGAACAGAACCTTGCACTGGAACAAAGGGGTGGAGCCTTTTCTTTCCCAGTACATACAATCTACACTGGAAATAGTAAATGACACAAATAAATGTAGGAATCTGTAAAGATGTTAGGTGGTGACAGTGTCTAAATGGACTGTTAAGTGTTTCAGGACACATAGTGAACAAGTCCAACATCAGCAGGATGCTGTCGGAGCAGCAGGTCAGAAAAGTCCTCTCCAAAGAGAAAAAAATAAGGTCTAGGCAAAATCTTGGAAAGGAAGGAAGTAGCACAGGACTGTCAGTTGCAGAAGTGAAATCCAGGCAGGGGGAATGGCAGGGGCAAACAGTTTCAGGCAGGAGTGGGTTTTGCCACCCCGTGAATCTGTGTGGCTGGAGGATAGTGATTGGAGCTCAGGAAGTATGAACAGAGAAGATAGCCAGGCTTCAGTGTTCATGATGTAGCGGAGGGACTTTGGCTTTTATTCCAAGCTAAATATGAATCATAGACTTTAAGGGGTCGTGGGAAAGGAACTGGAGTGGAGGCTAGAGAGTTTATATGTTTTTGTGAGTGTACATGTTTGCACACAGATACTTAGATAGATGTTTATGCATACATACTTGCTTGCCTTTCTGGACCAGAATTCACAATCATGCTATTCTTCAGGTGTTGGATGTCTATCTGTTGATCTCCTGGATTTAATGGCTGTCTAGGAAGCCCCAGGAAACCTCCTGTCTCCACCTCACTAGTGCTGGAAGTACAGGTGCATCCTACGACTATTGGCATTGGTTTTTTTTTGTTTGTTTTTTAAACATGAGCACAAGTCCTCATGCTTATATGGCAAGCGTTTTATTGATAATCCATCCTATTCATCCTCCTTTAGCAACATTTTGTTCAAGTAAAACCTAGTGTGGGCATGAGCTGTATGATTCTTGCACCATGCCTTCTCAACCTGGCTGAGTATTCTCCGGAGTAGTTCTTAGTCTAGTTAACCCTTTCATCCATCCTTGAATATGTCTAGGGAATAGCATCCCCTCCCAAGAAAGATTTTGGATGTTCTCTGTGTCTTACCTAATCAAGTCTAATACCATATATGTTATCCTTCACTTTGTAAAACATCCATAAGACTAACTAGACAAGTGAAATTAATGCCTGCTTAACTAGAACATAAAGACCTTAATAGTGAGATAGTCACATAAGCTTCCTCTAAGAAGAATGTCAAAGAAAAACAGTATTCTAATACATTCTGTTAATTGACACAAGTCACCCCTCTGGAGATGATACAGGCTATACTATACTTGTGTCTTTCAGAGTTCACTTGTGGCTGTGTCCCACAAAGCAAACAAGCCAACAGAGTTGCTGAGTTCTCAAGAAGCTGCCATGTGTATTACCCAACCCACTTACTCATCCAGTTTCTGACATTCAAGAAGCTCTGTTGACTGGTGAGGTCAAACATTAGTAAGAAGCCCATGGCATCTCTGAAGAAGGCGGTGGTGAGACTCCGGAACCTGTCGACAAAGCACAGTGACTGTTTCTCAGTCCACAAACCAACAATCAATGGCAAATGTACACACACACACACACACACACACACACACACACACACACACACACACACACGCCATGTCTATGCTGAGCCCTTATCATACTTGGTGAACATATGAGACTAGGCCAGAAGTGGCTGTAGTGCAGGGAGGGAAGATTTGCTTGCAGATGTTTTTTAAAGACCTTTTTTCTGGCTTTATGGTGCAATGGCACTAATACAGAGTTACATTTAATCACCAACTGGCCATAGCAACCTCTTGGAACTGTTTTTGTTTTGCCTTACGGCATCCCTTGGTCCACAATTAAAATCCTAGCCTATTTGAAGTGGATTTTAACTTAGGCTTTACAGATTTTCTTGTCTGTGCACAGAAGAAAAGCAGACACATAATTAGGCTGAGAGTGACATCCCCAGAGAACCTAAGAACCTAAGAAGCACTACACAGCTCAGCAGCAGCTAGAACTGAAAAAGATGGTAAACTCTCTTTAAAGGACTCCCTTAGGTGGGTGTGTGAATCCCTTGCGGAATAGGAAGAGGATTTGGGCAGGGGAGGGATGAGCTAAAATAAGAACAAAGGAAAAACTCAGGAGATGGAGAGAGGAAGCAAGAATATTCATCTATGGCAGAAGACTGAAAGTAAATTCTTGTACAAATGGTAAGATACATTCTCATGGACCCTTTCCCTGACCCTCCCCTGACTTCTGTAGTGAAGATAAAGATGGCCTGAGGGCCACAATGATATCAGCACAGGGCAAGACTGGAAAATGCACACAGGGACCAATGAAGGTTTGAAGTTAACAGTGGAATTTGAGAAATGCACATAGCTCTGAAATAGACAAGTATGGATTGGCTCTCCTAAATGGTTTCTGAATTTTTGGTCTCTTGTTTCTGCTTTATAAATATTTCAGGTTGGTGTTCTCAGAGTTCTGTTCTGGAGCCATCTCATTGGATGCACCCACACTGGAGAAAGTCATTTATTTCCTTGGCTTAGCTGTAGCCTGTATGTTGAACAGCCCAAGACATGTAGACTTAGCTTTTTGCTGCCCTTTGGACATGTGCATCAGAGATTTCCCACAGACAAAATTCAGGCATTTCTAGCATCATATATCACGAACTAAACTGTTCTCCTTCCTGACTTCCTTTCAGATAAGGGCATCCTCTACCTGCTGGAAGGTCCTAGTCTCTTTCCTCCTTCCCATGACCAGTTTTGGGCATCCCTCATTTCTTTCTGCTTATTTTGTGATTTTTTTTTCACTAACAACATTTTTGATGACTATGTATGGCTCTTAGGATAACCCCAAAACACCTCACTAAGCCAAAGAACAAAACAACAACAACAACACAACAACAACAACAACAACAAACTGTTCTCTCATCTTCCCTTAGTCCTCTTCTCTTGCCTTCCCACAGGCATGCTAATCCCTTAGTTCTGTGAAAGTTCACTGTCTCCCCTGGGCTCTCTCCCATGCTGGTTGTTCTGTGGGTTGCCTCACACTAGTGTTTCCTCATCCTCTGCCTGTCCTTTAGCTTGGACTACACTCTCTCATGCATTGTGTATGAGTGTAAAGTAGTAGAGGAATCTCTGCTCCCTCCTGGAGCCTTACGAGAACCACCTCTTCCCGGAGGGCTCACTTACAGCCTTCTTCCATCTTCCTGCTGTTGTCCTGGGGCCATGCTGAGATTGACTCTTGTCTACACTAATCTGTAAGCTCCAAGGAAAAGGAGCAGTGTTTCCAATTTAGAACACAGTCTAGTTTCAATGTCCAGAACTTGATATTCATCTATAAAGTACATTTTGTTATTAAAGAAAATAAGGAAAAGACAGAGTATGGTATACCAAGATTCAATGTTCTTATAGAATTTAAACAACGTCAAAAGAGAATCTTTGAAATATGAGGAGAGAGATAAAGCACTCATTTCTATTATGTAGCATTACCATGATACCAGAAGGTGTATTTTGTAAGTGTAAAATAGTACTTGTTTTTATCCATGTAGGTCTGTCTCTGCCATTGCCTGGGAGTTTTAGCGATCACAAGGACTCTGTAATACTACTCTCTGCAGAAAAGCTGAGCTCACAGAATTGTTTCTTATTTATCATACTCTGTGGGTGAGAACACTGATCCTTGATGTGTGTGTGTGTGTGTGTGTGTGTGTGTGTGTGTGTGTGTAGGACAAGCTTGTGTGTATTTTCCTTTGATGTATGTGTGTGTGTGTGTGTGTGTGTGTGTGTGTGTAAACTGTGTTATTTTCCTCATTGCCCAGATCACATACCAAAGCAATTAAAAAGTATGCTTCTGACTGAAACAAAAGGTTCTTCACCAACAGCAGCACAGACAGGACACTGTTGCTGTAGTACAGGATCTCATCCTGGACCATGTATCCTTGGTTACCCTTCCTTCCATTACTCCCTGGAAAATTTGTGCAACTGATATCCAGTCACACGGCCTCCTCTCCCATCTCATTTAGTCAATGACTCAGCAAGGTGGGAAAAGTTAAGACCACAGATCACAATAGATCCCCAAGTCAGACATCTTCTTATCCTTTCTCCCTTGAGAGGCATAAGGGCTGGACCTTTATGGTCACACAGTTTCCTGCTTCCCAGGATTGATTCTTATCAATGACCATCACCCTTACCCAGATTATACCGTCAGATACCCCAAAGCATAGGGCTGAGGTCTGTGGTAGTGTTTACATAGTTGCTTAGCTACACCTTATATCCACAGCATACAAAATTCTCAAGGGATGAATAAGCCAGGAGTTATTAAGACAGCTCCTCCCATTCCCTGCTTGCCCCACAATGCAGCTGTATTAAAGGGACAGATGAGCACAGTCGGCTATCATGCAAGGCTGACATCTCATGTGAGAGGACATATGGGAAGCATGTTTTTTTTTCATATTGCCTCCTCAAAAATGAATTAAATTGGTCTATAAAACATGCATCTTCATGACAACAAAGCTGACACATGAAAGGAGACTCTTATGAGGGATGACTTCAGAATAACCAGCAGTGTTGAAGGGTGTGTGTAAATGGAATTCACAGTCAAAAAAGCTAACAGAGAGGGCCAGCACCTCTCCTGGCGTTTACACTTGCTGAAAGTGAGAACATTTTGGATGCATTTCAAAAATATGGGTGTTTACAAGCATCAGCATTCAAAGACATATGATGCTGAAGCAGGGGCAAGATGTCACCTACATATCTTTGCTGTCATTCTGCTGTCACTTTTACTTAATCTGATAGTCGAGGGTTTTATTGAATTAGGATCTTTAACACTTGAAAACTTCGGGTCCCAAAGAAACATGTTTTCATTGAATAATGGAATATCACTGCAAGCTCCAAGCAACAAATGCTACTGGATATTGTTTATTATTTTGCATAGGACAGAGGAGATGATGCTGAAAGACTAGGAAGAATTCTGCCCTGATGCAGCTCACAGCTTTGTTGGGATGAGATGGCCACAAGAGAGTTGATAAAGTATCATTAGTTTTCAAAAGAAAGTAGAAGTTGCTTACTGACTTCACTGGGAAGGTAGAATTTGAGCCAAGGCTGGTGGAAGGAGATGAGGGAAGGCAGGGAAGTTGTTAAAGTGTCTAAGACTGGGGAGATGGCTCAGTGTATGGTAATGTGCTTGACACACAAGCAGACTCCATTTTGGATCCTCAGAGCCCACACAAAGCCAGACATAGTAGTGGGCATCTTTAATCTTGGTACTCCTTTAATGACTTAGGACGTAGGGACAGGAGGACTCCAGGAAGCCCATGGTCCAGCTGGCTTGTCATGTGCATCAGTGAATAGCAGGCAGGAGACCTTGTCTCAAACAATGTAGAAGGTGAAGACCTATACTCTTGCATCCCAGGCATGTTATGGCATGTGCATGCTCATAGTAACACTCATGAACATGTAAACATGCCCACATATATACATACACCATACATAGTACATGTGAACATACACATATCATACACAGACATATACAGAGTCCAAAAAGATACTCTAGATATTAGGCAATGGTGTGAGCCAAGTTTTAGCAAGAAAAGGCAGTTACCCAACAAGTGGCAAAGATTCTGAGTAGAAGAATAGAAAGACAGGAAGGGCACAAACACTTTTTCTTCAATGCTGTCTGTGATCAGCTCTTGAAATAGTGCTAATTCCCCATCTTTGCTAGAGTAAATCCAGAGACATTTTCTTCCACTAGGAAGTATGAAGATTTATGTAAATCTCATGCTGTGATCTGCACTAACTATACACTTCTAGTGTAGATAATGAACTAGAAACCACGGACTTTTAAATCTTGATACAAATGTCCATTAGTTGTTTCGTTCTGTTCATTTGTTTAGGTTTTTTAGAAAGGGTTTCTCTCATTCAATAACCAAGACTGGCCTCAAACTTCAAGCGATCCTCCTGCCTCAAACTCCTATTGTTATAGGAATGAACTATCACCCTGGGAATAGGTATCTATTTTGAAATTGGCAGAGAAGTTGCATATCATTTCATTTTGAGGTTCATTTTTCTATGTTTTCTAAGGCATAGGTAGCTAGAAATAAAGTAATTTCCTGTTACCGCTCTTGTCCAGCAGTGTCCCAAAGCTGCAGATGTACCTTAAACGCTTTTCCTGAAGCTCCATCTGCTCCCTGTGTGTCATAAACCTGGAAAACACAATGCTTCCGATTTAATATTGCCTTGGATTCTGTCAACATTCTACTTCTCTGGGTTCACTCAACATGTTTTTGTTGATTACGATAATCAAAGTTCATAGTGCAGAATAAATATTTGCTTTATTTTCCCCTGAAGTATCACATATATCTCACTTTTAAATGTCAAGTACAGTTTGATTTTCAACACAGTTTGGGCATACTGCAGACTTAAATTAGACACCTTCTGTCATTTCCTCATGGAGGCAGCAGGCATCAGATTAGGACTCCTGCATGAGGTTCAAACACCAACTTTTCGTTGCAACTTTGAACATTCTTTATTTTATTGGCAAATCGAGACCATAATTGTTCTATTCTCCAGTTCTAAGAGACTTAAACAAAATTCCATATGGGAAAAACATTTTACACAAAATTTGCTTTACAAGTACCTGTGTATTTTTTTTTAAACATAGAATTGACCCTCAGAATGACTTAGGTTGAAAATGTACACAGAATTTCTCAATGGATTGAGATGACAGACTTCAACCTCTGTCTTTTACCCTCTTCTTTTGAGGGTCTTTGCAGATCATATTCATGGCTTAGTGGAAATTTTTTTACGAATACCTTTTTTAAAAAATAAATATATAAAAAAAAGATTTCTACCTAGATTTGTAGGTGTTTCTAAGAGAAGTCAGAGGAATCATGGGAGTGCTGGAAGGAGAGATGCCCCTAGCCTACTGGCTCTCAGATAAGGAAAGGATTCAACTTTTCATGCAGTGGCTTTCCACCAAGCATTTCCTGTGGGATTTGTGACATCAACTGGAAGGCACAGTCATCTTGGCAGTCAAGAATACCATGGGTGGCAGGAAATCTGGCTACACTTATGTGCCTATGCTACATGCCTCACATGTCACAATATCCTTCTTGCTGTCATTAGTGTCTAGCATAGGAGGAGGAAGTGGTGTTGTGATTCTCACTTAGGCTCCCTTATCATGGAAAATAGCGTGGAAGGGTCTCACATTCTGTTCATAACAAGCCAGTGATTGATGGCTGAGGCTACACAGAAATAAAAATGCAGTAAGACTGTACAAATTTCATGCTCCAGCTATTTGCCAATCATACTTTTAACCTCTTTGTTAGGAGTATGGAAGTAAGCCCTTCAACATCTAAGGAATTACCTCAGACCAATGAAGTAATGCTTCTAGTACTTTAATAAATCGAAATTTGAAAGATCCTTTAAGAAATATTAGAAAACACATCATCCACAAAAAAATCCATCATTATTGTTCCCCATGTGCTTTTGAAGACAAGAGATATTGTCACTCAATATTTTTTCTATCAAAAGGTTATTGGTAGTTGAAAAAGTAAGAAATAATACTCTGAGGTTATGAGTTTCATATGATTAAAAAGCCAGACATTTTAAAATGTAATAAACACAGCTTTCCAATTCTTATTTTGTATAAGAGACTAGGTAGTAAGATTAATAGTATACTGAAAAACTTACCACACGTTTTTCCCGAAAATCTATTCCTACTGTAGTGATGAATTTGGGATTAAATTTATTATCCGTGTATCTGTAAAGAAATGTTGTCTTCCCTACTCCTGAGTCTCCAAGGGCCAGGAGTTTAATCAGATAATCATAGTCTCCATCAGTCATAGTGATGGTCTTGGCGGGCCTGTGTAGAAAAACAAGTGTGATATAGTTAAAGTTGACTCCCTCTGCCTGCTTTCAGAATATAACATACATTTAATTAATGGCATCAGCATCAAAAGCTTCTACTGTGCCAAAATGCTGAAATAAGTTGGCCAAAGCAGCTTTATGCATGAGGGTCTGCCTGTCATTTTGTTATTTTATAATGTGTCACATAATATCAAGCATCTGTAACCTAGACACTGGCACCACAGTAAACGAAGTTAAAAAGTCAAGGGCATTTGTTTCCAAAGCAAGACTTGGGAGGATGAGAGGTGTGCTGGTGGGGAAGAAAGGGGGTTACAATACAGAAACTCCACTGTGAAGTAAAGCAGCAAAGGTAGAGACTGGCTTGAATTGCATGCAGAATGAAGAAGCTGGAAAGTTTTATATCCAATAATGAAGGAGAAGACGACTATTATGTCCACACAAAATATTCCTTCTTAATCTTAAGAATTCATCAATTGGTATGAGGTCCTTTGAAAACACTGATATGACATTCTGCAGCAGCAACTATTACACATCTTCCCTCCTGAAACTAGCAGGCCCTTTTCCGAAGAGTCTGTGCTGAGCTTCACAGTAGCAAATTGCAGGCCTTGAGAGAGAAGAGGAGTTATTGCAAGGTGTAGTTTTAGTTATTTCAGGAAGAATCATCCTATCTGCACAAGCACCTTCACATCCTTTCTCCCAGTATACCAGCCCCTCCTCTGTGGCTATGATAACTGTGACTATGGACCAACCCAAAGCCAGTGCAAACGCATCTGCAGCAGTCATTGCAAGGTGGACAGCACACTCATCTGAATTACACCATCCTCTATTGCTGGTGAAGTTCACACAATGATTGGAGATTTGCTACAACGTTCTGATTCATCTGTCTATCCTACAAACAAAGAACAAGGCCCATGAAGACTTTGCTAACATGGAAAGCATTGGTTTATTATGTGAAAAAGAAGATTTTCCTACCTATAAACATGCAGGAGAAACTTTTGTTATTTGAGACAGCCTATTCTACAATGATTAAAAGTACATTTCAATAACAGCCTATTATATGAGTAAAATACACTAATAATTTTCTTTAAATATAAAAATGGTCTGGTGGTACAGGTCTATAATTACAGTTGTTTGGGAGGCTGAGGCAGAGTTTCCTTCTGAATAACATCACCTGATCATGTTATAAAGCAAGGAAAGGAATAGGAATGTATCTCAGTAGCATAACACATACGTGCGTGTGTGAGATACTGGGCTCCATCCAAACCACTGCTGAACAACTGAGAAGAGAATACACATAATTTATGTGTAAATAAACTTAATCCAAAATGCTTTTACTGTGTCATTTTGGGTAGTGGTTCAAGATAAAAGACATGTCCTTTGGTAAAAGAATTCATGAAGATAATGAGCTACTTATCAAATAATTAATTACTTATCAATTAATAATTATGATTAAATTGCTTTGGAGATTTATCTCTTTTAAACAGAACCAGTTGCTCAAATCTAAACTATATTTCTTTTGCTAAATAGGACTAAATTGATTGTCAACATGTGTTTTTTTAATCAAAAAACTTTTGAGATAAAATAAATCATATCATTGCCCTTAAAATTTTCCTCCCTAATATTTTACCTTTGTCTCAGAGTAGAGTATTGCTGATTGCAAAAGTTTTTTTTCTTTTTTAAACTATCTAGACAAAGTATGATCATTTCTTAGGAAGCACATGCAGCTCTCAGTGGCTAGTCTTCCTCAATGAAAGGACTCAGATAACCATAGCTGCAGGATTCTTCTTGGACATGTCTGCTGTAAGTGATTGCCTAGATTTATCTAGTCCTATACTGGCTGGCTCTAAATATTTTACCAGAGTTTTATAGTTGACTCTGCTGCTGCTCTTAGACTTTGAGCCTCAGTGGTGCTCAAATAGAATGATGCTCTCTACTGAAGGCCTGTCTTCCCACCTCCCTATCTTCTCTGTGAGTAGCAGTTTACTATCAGACTGTTCATTTTCTCTGGGATATTCTAAGACAAAGATCACTACTGCCAAAATCTTTCCTTGGTGTAAGCCACAGAGGGAAAACAGAACAAAACAAAACAAACAAACAAACAAACAAAAAAACGAGCTACTGGCTCCCTAAATAGAAGGTAATTCTGGAGAATGTTATGGTTCTTTGGAAAAACACAAAGGTTGACGTTACTCAAAAGTGTGTCAGCATGATCTCAATTTTACTTCCAGGTTCCTTTTTTATTGTACTTTATTGCTGGTAATCATAAGAGAGACAAAATCTCAAACAAATCCAGTGAAGTCAATCAGAGTATGGGTGCTGGACACAAAGGTGAAACCCCAAAAAGATATACATCACAATCTAGTTTCTAGCAAAGCCCGCATGTATTTAGAAGGTGGGTGTGAGTGCAAAGAGAGCCAGGGATACAGCTCCCTTGGCCAAGTGCTTGTCTAAGATGAATGAAAGCCTGGGTCCCACCTCAAGCCCTGCAAAAAAATAGGTTTTGGTGGTGCAGACTTGCAATCCCAGCACTGGGAGCTCAAGTCAGAAGAATCAGACGTTCAAGACCATCTTAGGCTATGTAGTGAGTTTGAGTCCAGCCTGGGATATAAAAGATCCTGTTTCTAGAACAAAATGAATTTAAAATAAAATCACAAAAGAAAAAAAATACAGCATAAATGTCCAGAGCAGAACATGGTTGATAAATGAGTGGAATGATCATGGTGTTTATAATTCAAAGTAGTAGCCTTTATGAACTAGGGTGTTCAGGAGGACTTAGAGAAAGATTAACGATTAACTAGCATGCAATCTTACAGCACAGCAAGAATCCAGACTAGGTGAGAACCAGGGAACAACCACATGAGATCCACTTAAGGTATGAAGCCATTAACCTCTTGCCAAGTACATGTCCCTGACTAACAGCCAATTGACCCTCTGTTCATTGCATACAACCTGTCTGGGGCAACAAGGCTGCCTGCAAGTGAAGATCTAATCCAGAGTGAGCAGTATCAACTACCAGGGAATAGTTTTACTGTGGCCCACATTGCGTCTGCTCTATAAATGAAGAGTGATGGACACACTGTGACATTTGACACAGATACCACAGAAAATTAGCACACAGCCTGGCCTGTGGAAAAAAAAATTTAGTGTTTCTAGTGTGCTGCTTGACCTACTAAAATAGGAATTAGGTGGTTTAATTTAAGTTTCTCTTGAAAGCATTAATAATCTGTTCTTTCTTGCTGGTATTTATTTATACATGTTTATACCTGCCTAACTAAAATGTGTTTGGTTCACTTCTCTTTTTATTACAACATTATTCTCTGAGTCCTAAAATGGTTGATGTAGATGTTCTTTCCCTGTCATGGAAAACACAGCAGCAGAAAGGGAAAGAAAGCCTTGGTAAGGTTTCCTTTTCTAAGAAATGGGATAGAAATTTGTCTGGAAAAATAAATATAGCTGACATGTTTAAAAAGCATTGTTCATTTCTGTTCTAAGATTGGTTATCTTGTCATTTTTTGGTTCTACAGATCTAAAAGGGAGAAAAAGTCAAAAGATGGTGATGCTTCTGGGACCATGTCTGATTCTTGGTCTTTATCACAGTGTCACAGCTATGCCACAGAGCCAGGAGGACAGAGAGATACAGACGATGGGGCATTGTGCCCAGAATCCTTCATGGGACAGCAACGGGGAAGGAAGAGGAGGGGAAAGATCTAAACTATGCCATACCCACAGCTTCTGCAGAGTCTGAGGGGAGCAATAAATGTACATGATCACATGGACATCATTGTTCAGATGTGAACACACACCAGTGGGGATGTAGACCTTCAGGAGAGACTACTGGTTTCTAACTGAACAAAATCCCAAGTATTCCCTTCATTTACTTTATTAGAAACAGATTGGCAGATAAGTATAGTCTTCACTCCTTGTCAAGGAAACTCATTTTTCCAACAGAAAGACTACCACAGAAACCTAAGCCATTCAAAACACAGGGTTGTGGAACCCAGTCCCAATTGATAAATCTAAAGCACACTCCTATACTTAAAATCTTGGGGAACATTATAGAAGAGGGCACAGAAAAATTGTAAGAGCCAAAGGAACAGGAAGTTTGATGTGAGATTATGTCTCATGGAAATATCAGAAGTCACATGCAAAGTCTCATACATATGACTGCCCAAATGTGAACTGAACAAAGATTACACTGACAAGAATGCCAAATTAGACTAGGAAAAGCCCAGGAGGTTTCAGTTCTATACAAAGAACTATGGGCAACTGAGTAAAGTTGGGAGCAAGAGAGGTCCTCTCTAGAGAAGAGTACACCAATTGCCAGTGCCAAATAGTCAGCCTTGAAACCATACATTTAAGAAACATTATATAGACTCAACAGGTTATACTTAGGAATACACACACACACACACACACACACACACAAGTACATATATGAATGCAATAAAATTTGATGAACGGACCATAGATTTGAAGGAGAGCAGGGAAATTGGATTACAATCTCAAAAATAAACAAAAAAATGGGGAAACATTTTGTCTATAAAGGAAAAAAATTGTATTTAGTTGAGGAAAAAATAATCATAGAGTTTAAGTTTTGAGAGAAAAAAATTAAAAGAAATGGAATCCATGCTGGACAGGGAGAAGGTAGAGATACTGTCCTTGTCGAGGAGGGTTTTGCCACCTTGTAAGGGCTTGGACCATGAGTCTCACTCCTGACTTATTACAATAAGGTTACAACTTCTTTGTTTTAGCCTAATATTTAGACTCTTTCCTGAAATTACTTCTTTATTCTACCCTAAGATTTAGATTCCTGCCTGAAATTACTTTTTTTTCTAGCCTAATGACAGATTCCTGCCTGAAGCCTACTTCCTTGTCCTTGGCCAATGTCATAATCCTGCCAAGCAGACCATTTCCTTGTCCTTGGCCCATGTCAGATTCTTGCCAAGCAGCCACAAGGCTCTCCACCTCTCCTCCTTTTTTATTTCATTAACAAGA